CTATCCTAATGACCTCATCTTTACTTCATTAAGTCTGCATAGACTATTTCTAAATCAGGTCATATTGCTTCCTGCGTCTGGCTAGGGGCGGTTGCAAGGAAAGGAAATAGCTCCAAGAGCTGCATCCTGCTTGCGGTAGCGGTAGCAGCGGCAGAGGTGGAGGCAGAGAGAGGAGGGCGGAGGAGGCAGAGGAGGCTGTTGCAGAAAAAAAGTGTCAGAGCCAGTTCGGCTTTAAGAGTGTGGTAAGGGGTGCTTTTCACGGTGCATGGAAGGAAAACCAATGCGCAGGTGTACCAGCATTCGACCAGCAGAGACTGGAATGGATGTAACAAGTCGCTGCACCCTTGGAGACCCCAACAAACTGCCAGAAGGGGTTCCCCAACCTGCCCGCATGCCTATATTTCAGACAAGCACCCTCGACAAACCTTGGAAGTGATTAACCTTCTGAGAGAGCACCGGGAACTATGCGATGTGGTACTTGTTGTGGGCGCTAAGAAAATATATGCACATCGAGTCATTCTGTTGGCCTGTAGTTCCTACTTCCGAGCTATGTTTACAGGAGAATTGGCGGAGAGCCGTCAGACAGAAGTGGTGATCCGAGACATAGACGAGAGGGCTATGGAACTACTGATTGACTTTGCGTATACCTCCCAGATAACTGTAGAAGAAGGCAATGTTCAGACCCTCTTGCCAGCTGCTTGTCTCCTCCAGCTCGCAGAAATACAGGAAGCCTGTTGTGAATTCTTAAAGAGACAATTAGATCCTTCTAACTGCCTAGGCATTCGGGCTTTTGCTGACACACATTCTTACCGTGAGTTGCTAAGGATAGCGGACAAATTCACTCAACATAACTTTCAAGAGGTAATGGAGAGTGAAGAGTTCATGTTACTTCCAGCCAATCAACTCATTGATATAATATCTAATGATGAGCTAAACGTTTGCAGTGAAGAACAAGTATTCAATGCAGTGATGGCCTGGGTCAAATACAGTATTCAAGAAAGACGCCCTCAGTTACCCCAGGTGCTGCAGCATGTTCACATGCCTTTGCTTAGTCCAAAGTTCCTGGTGGGCACAGTAGGCTCTGATCCCCTCATTAAAAGTGATGAAGAATGCAGAGATCTGGTAGATGAGGCTAAAAACTACCTCCTGTTGCCTCAAGAATGACCATTAATGCAAGGACCAAGGACAAGGCCACAGAAACCTATCCAATGTGGAGAAGTACTCTTTGCAGTTGGTGGTTGGTGTAGTGGAGATGCCATTTCCAGTGTGGAGCGATATGACCCACAGACCAATGAATGGCGAATGGTAGCTTCAATGAGCAAAAGACGATGTGGAGTTGGGGTCAGTGTCCTGGATGACCTGTTATACACAGTAGGAGGCCCTGATGGATCCTCTTATCTCAATAGTGTCGAAAGATATGACCCCAAAACAAACCAATGGAGCAGTGACGTGGCCCCCATGAGCACCTGCAGGACGAGTGTGGGTGTAGCGGTACTCAGTGGTTTCCTCTATGCTGTGGGGGGCCAAGATGGTGTGTCTTGCCTCAGTATTGTTGAGAAGTACGATCCGAAGGAGAACAAGTGGACTTGGGTGGCTTCTATGAGTACCAGAAGACTAGGTGTGGCAGTGGCTGTGTTGGGAGGGTTCTTATATGCTGTAGGTGGCTCTGATAGGACATCTCCACTCAACACAGTGGAATGCTACAATCCTCAAGAAAACAGATGGCACACTATAGCCCCCATGGGGACCCGGCAGAAACACCTGGGCTGTGCTGTGTATCAGGACATGATCTATGCCATGGGAGGAAGAGACAACACCACAGAGCTCAGCAGTGCTGAGAGGTACAACCCCAGAACTAACCAGTGGTCTCCAGTAGTGGCCATGACATCCCGGTGCAGTGGAGTTGATCTGGCAGTGGTCAATGGACAGCTCCTGGCAGTAGGAGGTTTTGACGGTACGATGTACTTGAAGACTGTTGGCTGGGAGGTGGTGTAGGAGTTACTAAAATGACACCTTGTGAATCCCACATATGGTGAACATGTAGGAGACAGTCTTGTATGTGCTTCTCTGTATTCTGGAGACCTTTGACTTTGAAACTTTGTGCAGTTTGAGAAAACATTAGAACAAATTTTATTCTTTGCTGGTGCCTCAACATATGGAAATACAAGTCTGATGACACTATTTCACCTGCAAGATGCCACCTTTGCATGGTAATTTTCAACTTTGTGTAGAAGACTATTTATTTTTTGTTTTGTTTTAATTTATCATAGTGTTTTGGTTTGGGCGTTTTTGCTTGGGTTTTGGGGTTTTTTTGTGTTTTTTTCTTACTTATCCTTCCTCCCACAAAAAGAGAGAGAGAGTGGACCAGGGATTTAGCTCAGTGGTTCCGGCGCCTGCCTCACAAGCTCAAGGTCCCGAGTTCAATCCCCGGTACCAAAAAAAAAGAGAGAGAGAAAGAAAGAAAACCCAAGCATCACTGGGCATTATGGCACACTCTGGTAATCCCAGTACACAAGAGGCTGAGGCAGGAGTATCGAGAGTTCAAGAACAGCCTCGGCTACACAGGGAATTTGAAGCCAGCTTGGACTACATAGTGAGACCTTGTCTCAAAAAAATAAAAATTCCAAGAGAAACTTACTTTGTTTGTAAGGTATTGATTTAATTTTGAACGTACTGATAAGGGCAGAAGGGGTATGTATAATCTGATTAGTTCTACTAGACACTGCATCCATCCGACTCCACTACTGCAAGGATTAATGAGAAAGATAAGTATGAACAATGTATTAGCTATTCATCATCCTTGGACTACACCAGAAGACTTGAAAATGTAAAAGAAACAAAAACCACATCATACTAAATAGTGAAGGCAGAAGGAATATCAAATCAGTAAAAGCAGGGCTCTAATGCTACAGTTTTCTTCAGTGGAAGTTCATAACTTGTTTACTTCTAAATGAACTTGTTTTCACTGTAGTTAAAATCTTTTTTAAAAATATTCTCATGGAGTTTCTGCTAGTTCTAGAACTCTGCTCAGTGCCTGTGTTAAAACAGCATACGAGTCTCATTCGCTGTCTCGAGAACCGCCCCAATATAATCATATGCAGCTCTGCAAGAGTTTTTGCTCACAATGTTGCTGAGTGAAGCAACTTTCCTTCCGGTTTCCTTGTCTCTACCAAGGAGCAGAAGGGAGAAATATACTTTCCCCGGGAGCCAGTCCTGTACGCAGTTTGCGCTTGATGCTCCTGCCTGGTGCAGCTGAGGCTTACTTTCAATAACAGCCTCCTAGAGAATGAAGTCTTCACTTCATGAATAGCACATGTTGCTGAGTGTAAGACCACTTGAGACATTTTATCAATATCTAGGTTCTTTTATGCAAACTGTGTATCATTATCTTCATTCTGTAAGGCCACTGTTAATTCTCTCAAATTGCACTTTCTGATGAAAAGTTAAAAATTGTAAGGAAATAAATGGTAAATGATTTATTGGTGAATTTTTTTTCTTCATTATATTCATAGATCAGTTCTTTTCAATGCATTTTGTAGGAAAACTTTTAAGACTTTAACTGCAACCAAAAGGAATAAACTTCACCTCCCTCTCCCTTACAACAAAAATGTTTGGCAACTTTTGTGTTTATGTTTAAAGATCATTTGCACCTTTTTCAAGGAAAAAAAGTATTTGGTAAATAATTCTTTACATGTATCATTTATGCTTTTTCTAGCATGTATAACTTTTTAAAATAAAGGTAGTACTTACTAAATTAGGTCATATTCTCAGATATAGGGGCAGTTAGAACTTCAACCTATCTTTTGGGGAAGACACAATCCAAACCATAACACCCCATTTCTTACACAAAGCTAACACCTATTTTTCACCTTAGTGTTAAATTTACCTGCATATTTTAGGTTCCTTTCCATATCAGTACACACTGATCTCTCTAATCCTCTGCTTTAGAGCTACAGAGTGTCACATGTGGCTGTCTCATGGTTTATTAGGTCAGTTCCCTAATGATGGACACTTGACTTCTTTCCAATCTTTCGACATTTCTATGAGTACCCTGTACAAGCATCACATCCTGTGTACGCAAGTTTATCTGTATGATAGAGTCCAACAGGTGGGGTTTTTGAGTCCAAGAATAATACATCTGTAATTCTGGCAGTATTGCCAGATTCCTTTCATAGGGGTTATGCCATTTTACATCCTTACTAACAGTGTGTGAGGGTGATCACACTTTTGACTTTTGCCAATCTATTAAGTGAGAAATGGTACTTCCATTTAATTTCATATTAATGTTCATTTTTTCTTACATACCTCTACATTTTAAACAACTTTATAAAAATTATTTTTGTAAACTTTTGGCCCCAAACAACTATGCCATAATAAAAATTTCTAACTTCAAGTATATGGAATTAAAGTAAGATATCATAATAGAAATATAATTAAAGTAGGTTATTTGCCAGGGTTGGTCCACCCCTGGGAGAATATGACCCATCCTCCTTACTCCAATGACTCAAGAAACAGCAAATTCGTTTTCATTTAGCTAGTCAGAGGCAATTCAGTAGCTGGGAGTGAGTGTACCCCACTTCACAATCCTTTTCTAGCTCTTCGGTGTTTTCTAGTTGAGCTGTTTAATGTATAGTGTAGAATGCTGAAAGTCATTTAGGAGAAGCCACATTCCCACCAAAGGACTTGCTCTTCAAAGGTGGTTCTACATGTGTTCTCATCATTCCCTCTCAATCCTATCATTGTTAATACGAGCCACTTTCTCATTTCCTGAGTGAAGTGTCCTTGTGGTTTTGAATGCTGCCAACTCTTCTCATTGTTACAAACAATACCATAGTAAAGATTATTTAATGTTCTGATTCTAAATTAAATTTGCCGCAGTATTCTTCTTAGAAAATATCTGTGCCTGTTATTAAGTCTCTTTTCTTCTTAGTATCTGGGGCCATCTATGTTATTAACTCATATTTCCAGTGTGTCCCATGGTTGTGTTCCCTTCATTGTAGGTGGTATTGTGAAGGTAAAGAGCTTGAAAATTCCCCAGACATTCAGATTGTCCAGGCCGGAAACCTGCACTCGCTGACTATCGCCGAGGCCTTTGAGGAGGACACAGGACGCTATTCCTGCTTTGCGTCTAACATCTATGGGACAGACTCAACTTCTGCTGAGATTTATATAGAAGGTAAAGCAAAATACTCTTGAAAGGTGATAATTACTAGTAGAACATAAATTTAATCAGGGATGCTAGTGTGCACCTAAATCCAGCCCTCAGGAGGCTGAAGTAAGAGGATTGCTACAAGTTTGAGGCCAGCCTGGGCTACATAGTGAGTTCAAGGCCAACCTGGAATATATAGTGAGACCCTTTCTCAAAACAAAACAAAACCAAATAAATATTTGTTAAGGGCCTATTCTACCATACTCCTGGGCAGAGGGGATATAGCAATGAATCAAGCAGACAAAAATCCTTGGATTCCTATACTGATGAATTCACATTATAATTGGAGAAAACAAATGAGATATATAAAGCATATAATATGATAGATAGAGGTAACCATGTGGAAGAAATAGCAAAACAGTGGATAGGAACTATGTATGTGTAAGTATGAGTGTGTGTGTGTGTGTGTGTGTGTGTGTGTGTATACTGTAATTTTAAACAGGGTGGCCAATGAAGGCCTTGTGGATGGCATTTGTATGGAGGTCTGGAGGATGCAAGGGAGTGGGCCTCAAGAATATTCAAGGGAAAAGCACTCTAGGCAGAGAAATCAGCAAGTCAAATGGCTCTGAAGGGAGTGTGCTGTTCCTAAGGTAGATGGGCCAGTGTGAGCAGCATGGAGCAAGCCAGGAAGAAAGTAGCAGGACAGAGGTCTGCAGTTGCAGGTGGGTTGAAGTGGAGGAGATGAGAGGGTAGAGCATGTAAGTCCCCTAGGTCATCACAGGGACTTTGGTTCTTACCCTTAAGGAGATGGGAAATCTGGAGGGTCTGAGCTGAGACAGGTGCAATCTTAGTTTGAACAGTGTAACTCTGGCTGCAGGTGGAGAATATACAGCTGGAAACCCAGGGTAGAAGCAGGGACGCTGGTTGGGAGCATTTCAAAGGTCTCTATCAGCACCAACCTTCTGTGATGAATTTCAAGGAAGAAATCAGATTATGTTGCTCATGTATCTACCTAAGTTTTTGTTCATATTTTGTCTCATCCTCTGAGTTTTTTCCTGAGGACATTCTTTAGCAATTTTGTTGACTCTAATACCTTACAAATGCCTTGGTTTTAGCATTTGCCTATTGTATTATTATGGTATAAATGCCCATTTATCAACTAGATTGCAAGGCCAGGACTGTTTCGTGCTTCTTCTTCTTCTTCTTTTTTTTTTGTTAATCTCTTGGTATTTGCATAATACCAACAACACAGTGAATATTTGATAAACATTTGTTGAGTAAATATATGAATAGGAATGTGTTGTATGTTTTTATCCCAAGTATTCAGAGTATAATAAATACCTCCCGATTTAGCTCTATTCTATCTTCCTGGAATTCACTATCATGAGAAGTAAATCCAGGATCAAGGTTCTGCGAACAGTGCTGAGATTGGATTGCTGCTTTTTTTTTTCCTTTGTGGCAACAGGACTTCGAACACCCCCACTCCCAAGATGAAAAATGACTTGTTAATATTAGGACAGGACGGAAGAGCATCCACCTACACCTACAATGTTTAGAATCCAGTGTAATCTCTTCCTTTATTCAATCTGTATAGCCAAGAGCATGAGTATTTATGAGCACCAGAAAATGTCTGCAAAGGTTGCTCTGCTAGTCCAGAGACATCAGCAAATGTTTTCCATACTCAAACATTAGACACTGGACTGATTAATTTGAACTGTAGCACTAACTCGAGATGTGACCTTGAGCAACTCCTTCTGTGGCTCAGGGTCTGTTTCTTCATTTGTCAAATCAAATGTTATGGTAGAGAATCACTAAGTTCATTTCTAAGTCTAAGATTCTGCAGATCTCCAAATTCAGTTTAAGAACTGGCTTAAGAAATTATCATCTTCAAAATTTCACGTCTTGTTTTTATTTCTCCAGGAGTTTCTTCTTCTGACTCAGAAGGGGACCCTAACAAGGACGATATGAATCGGTAATTCTAATTTTCTATCCTGTACATTTCCCACCCAGAGATCACAGGCAAACGTCTAATTGGCCTGGCATGGTGGTACACACCCATACTGCCAGACACGGGGGAAGCTAAGGCAAAAGACAGGAAGTTAAGGCCAGATTGAGCAATAAATAGCAATACTTTGTCTCAAAATACAAATAAAAAGGACTGTTGGATGTAGCTCAATGCACCCTGGGTTCAACTCCCAGTATCAGGGGAAAACAAAAAAACCCTGCTAATTGGTTCTAGGCCTTGCAAAGGGTGACTTCAGGGTATGACCTAAAAATAATTTAATTGATTAAAAAGAGTAGAGCAGATTTGGAGACAATTCTGTGCCTTTTGCTTAAGTCTTTTCTAACAAGCTTAATTAAAATATTCTCAATAGTTAAAAAACAAAGTATCACCTTTGAAAAATCGTCATACATTTATCTACAGAATAAAAAGCAAATATCCAATGGTTTTAAAAAACTCGTGTTTAAATAGTATTCCCAAGAACACAAAACTTAGTAATCCTAAATACATATGTGTGTATACAATTTATAATATATATAACTTTACATATAATATTTATGTACTTTATTACTATAATTACTTATTTAGTATACACATACAAATGAGCTATCTGGACAAGTTAGAACCTTTTGGCAAAACAGTTGTACCAAATACTGAACAAAGTTGTGTCCAACCATTCATTACTTTCCACAACCACACACTGAGCACTTACTCCACCCCAGGCACTGTGCCAGATGCAGTGGATGCTATAAAAACTCAGATGCTTCCTGCCTTCAAGAGGCTCACAGTCTAGTACAGAGAAACATAAAGCAAGAATAGCAAGAAATGTTTTGTACCCCAAAAAAAGAATAGCAAGAAATGTATGGAAGCATTTAAATAGTAAGAATAATGAAATGGAATAGACTATGGTTCCTATACACAGTCTGTACAGGACTAAGCACAAAAGACTTTTTAAGTTGGGGAGGGAGACAGAAGTCAAGAAAATCTTCACAGAATTTTGACCATAAGCTGAGTTTTTGTTTGTTTTGGGAAGTAATAAAGATTGAACCCAGAGCCTTGAGCATGTTCTACCATTGAGCTACATCCTCAGTCCTTTTTATTTTATTTGAGATTTATTTATTTTATTTGAGACAGAGTCTTGCTAAGTTGGCTTGCTAAATTGTGATCCTCCTGCCTCAGCCTCCTGAGTAGCTGAGAGTACAAGCATGAGCCAGCATGCTCAGCTCTAAAATAAGTCTTAAAAGAATAGTAGAAGGCTACCCCCACAACCAAGGTAGAGGCATTCCAGGCAGAAGTCATGGGTCCTGGAAACAGACACAGCAATGGTTCCTTTAGATTACTTGGAACAAACAGCAGTATTTGGGAGAGCAGTTAGAGATGCAAACTGTGTTTGCATATTTTGGCTTCCCTTATAGAGGGGAAGATCCATAAGGGGGAAAAATCATGTTTTATTCTTCAAAATGTTTTGCCTGTGTCTACCTTTATTTGCTTTCTGTCAGCTTATGCGCAAATGCAAATAGGGTAAAGCATCCCTCCTTCACTCCCTTTCTGCATGCTCTCCTGGCTTCAGGTCAATTCTGCCTTCTTTTCGGCCTTTTGCCAGTCACCTGCTCATAGGTCTTCCCATCGGCTCCAGGCTTTTATTTTATAGCCTTGAAAGTACTATTCCCAAGTATCCTCTAAAAAATCATTTTGATCCTATCATTTTCCTAACTGAAAAAAGATGAGTATTTATGGGAAAACAAAAATTGAACATAAGACAGACATGTTTTTTAAAATCTGAAATCAGCCTACATACAAAGTCTTATTCAGTAGCCTGGAAACCAGGCTTCCCTACCCCCTCCTCCACCTCGGGCTGCCCGCACTGCCGACTTCTCACTCCAACAGTACACAGTTCATTTTCACCTTTCCTTTCAAGCTGCTCACTTTCCTAGGAATGCTCTGCCTCTCTTTATTTTATTTTTGCTTTGTTTTTTGAGACAGGGTATCACTATGTATTTCAAGCTGGCCTTTAACTCACTATGTAGCCCATGTTGGCTTTGAACTCGAGCCAATCCTCCTGCCTCAGCCCCCTGAGTGCTGGGATCACAGGTGTGTGCCACTACACCCAGAAAATGTGTGTAAATTTGAAGAGCTTGTTGACTTCAGGTTATTTTCACTTTCTGACATGCCAAAATTACACTGGAAAAGATTTACAAAGCCTGGCCTCCTACTTGAAACGGGAAGAGGAAATACAGAGAACATCAAAACAAATCTTTAAAGAATTATCTCCTCCCCATGTTTCTGTCATGGATCTCAAGTAGCTGTGAATAGGTTTGACTCCCTGGCTACACTTCAAGTAACCCACAAGAATGGTGTCTCGTTCATTTTCATATCTGCTTTGCCTGACAAAGTGTGCAGCCTGAAGCTCTCCGTAAACACTTGTAGAATATTGTCAAGCCAAGAGCTTGATTCCCTTTGACTGTCCACAGCGGTGGCTTTACTAGTTTTGCTGAAAAAGTTTTCACAAATAGTTATAGCTCTGCTTTATAATCTATACTATCTAATCATTTCTCAGAATCCAGAAGCCAAATGAGGTGTCATCACCTCCCACTACTTCTACAGCCATTCCTCCAGGAGTGACCCCAGCCCAGCCTTTGGGGGCCCAGCCCAGAGTGTCAGCCACCCAGCAGGTACAGAATCGGGATGAAACATGAGGGCATAGACTGTGAGGGACATGCGCTGTGACAGTGACAATCTTGTGCAGCACGATCATGCTGTCCTCTGTAGAACTCTGTCAGGATGAACACCACTTTGTGCTCCTGATTATAACAGCAGCAGTCCCCACTGCTCCAACTTAATAAGCAAATATCGCAGGAAAGGAAACTGTGTAAATTACTGTCTGACATTCTGGCTTTATCAAGAGTGCTGAGGGCTGGAAAAAAAAAAGAGTGCCGATTATTTGTACCATGAGCTACCAGCTCTTGGGCTGGCCCAGAATTCTCTACATCAGAAAACTCAGTTTCATGGAGCCACAAAAGATTTTATTGCCTAAGAGAGAGCAAGCAGGAAGTTATTTTTTAGAAAATAGCAAAGGCTCTTGTCTTTCAAGTTAATAATAATAATAATAATAATAATAATAATAATAATAATATATGCTTAGTATTTAAGACTTTAAAAAGTACAGGAGGCTGTTAAGTAAAAACTGTAATCAAAGTTCTTCATCACTCCTCAGGGGTACTTCCTGCAGTTTCAGATAGTTCCAGCCATATCTATGCACATATAAGAATACCTCATGTATGCATATACTTCAAAACATATTAAATCATATGACCTAAATATGTTCATAAAATATTATTGATGATATATCTTGATTTTAAATACATTGATCTCAACCTTTTCTTCTTCAATTGTCTAGTTTTTGTTTTTTTGGGTTTTTTGGTACCAGGGATCGAACTCGGGCCCTTGCGCTTGTGCAGCAGGCGGCAAAACTACTGAGCTAAATCCCCAGCCCCCCCAATCTTTTCTTCTTAAAAATCAGAATTATGTACCTAATCTATTTAGTAATGCAGAAGGATCAAGTTTTAGTTCTACTCCATTGGTTTTCCACTGTGACCTGTGCTGCCCCAGGGGTTTAATGAGATTGCTTCAGGCAATCAGTGTTAATTACATGGATTCATACACTGAGCAAGGGAGTAGCCAGTGTGTGAGTTTTACAGTCACCATGACCTACAAAGGGATGCCCTCAGTTCCACCTAAAATCTGAAGGCTGTGATTCATAAACTTAGAAAATATGCCTTTTGATTTGAGATTAATTTATGCATCAAATTCTGCAAATTTGCTATATCTAACAATCCAGGTAATAATTTTAGTGACAATGAATCTGTTGTTGGTTCCCTTCTAACAGTGCCAGAGTCCTACCAACTATTTGCAAGGATTGGATGGAAAACCTATCATTGCAGCTCCAGTGTTTACAAAGGTAATCAAAACACGAATTCTTTCTCTCTGGCCTGGCTTTAAAGACACCAGAACACCTACACAGAGTTATAGATCCATGATTGATTGATTTTATTTCAGTATTTGGGGCTCATATAAGTACAGAATAAGGTGCTTAGGGTTTATTAGTATCACTTCAAGTCCCAGATTTCTAATTATAGGTGCTTTTTGTTGTTGGGTTTTTGCTGCTGCTGCTGCTGTTGTTTTTAATCTTGTTATTGTTGTTGTTTTTTCCTATTACTGGGGATGGTGCCCAAGGCTTCACACATACTAGGCAAGTGCTCTGTCAGTGAGTTACATCCCTGGCAACTACCCCTTTCCCCCCCCTTTTTAGATAGGGTCTTGCTAAATTGCCCAGCCTGCCTTGAAGCTTGACATCCTCCTGCCTCAGCCACCTGAGTAGCTGGGATTACAGATGTACACCACCCACAATCAAGCTTTAATAACAGTTTTTATGATGAGATCATTCCCTCTCACCACAGTGATCTCTATGACCATTCTCAGGCTTTGAGACAGCCACACCCAAAGATCAGGTGATCTAGTTCCAGCCACTTATTACTCCAGAGGTTTCTCTGGACTTTCAGAAGTATCTGGTTCCTGGGATCTGTCTTTGGGGCTTAAGGACATGGAGTTAGATGCTCTTGGGAGGTTTAACATAAAGCCTCTCTCAAGGACAAAGAGCTTTCTTTTTCTGCTCCCTGGTATCAGCTATTGTATTATCAGCAAATTCTGACTCACACAGTCTTTGTGTTTAGAATTGGAAAGTTCAGTCAGGGACTTTTATTTACAAATTTAAAAACCAAGAGAGGGCCAGAGGGTTTAAGCTATTTTGCTAATGTCACAGGACTAGTTAGTGGCAGAACTAGAACTAGAAACAAGTTCTTCTACTTCCCGGTCTATATACCCTTATATAACACAGAGTATGTTTATCTGTTGTTCAAAACAGTAAATTCAAAGGTTAAAAAATTGAGTCACATTGGATTTGGGGGCATTATGAAGACCAGGGCGGTAGATTCTTTGCCTGGATTTACAGTCTGTTATATGAACATCAAACAGGCCCAAAGAGATTTTATCTTCTAAGAAATGCGTTTTGGTTAAGAACAGTGGTTATCCATCATAGTGAGTTTTGTTCTCTAAAGGTTATTGGGAATGTCTGGTTTTTTGTGGGGTTTTTTTTTTTTTTTGTACCAGGGATCAAACTCAGGACATTGCGCTTGTGAGGCAGGTGGCAACACCACTAAGCTTACTCCCCAGCATGAATTCTGGAGACAGTTTTAGTTGTCACAACTGAAGAATTTCACTAGTGGCATCCAGGGATGCTGCTAAACTTCCTCCAGTTCATAGGAGAACAGCCTCCCACAACAAAGAAATATCCTGCTCAAAATGTCAATAGTGCTGAAGCTGAGAACTCCTAATTGCAAGGAAAATGGCAAAAAAATGGTCTTTTCCAGCAAGTACTAATGTTTAAACTAGGAGCTAAATCCACAACTTCCACAGAAGGCTCAATTTCAGGAAAGTTCCACCATATTGGCTCATCCAAAATGGCCTCTAATACCTGGCAAGAATGGGCCATGTTTACCCATCTCCATGTCACTCAGGCACACCCTCTTACATGAGACAAGATGTCTCAATTTTTCAGGTTCTTTTCCTGGAACTTCTAACTTCTTGTTATTTCTTATTGTTACTGCTAAGGCACTTAGCCTTAACATACAGCATAAGTGCTGGAAATCAGCACACTTAATTTAATTTGTCACACTCCTCTGTCACACCTTAGAGACAGTGCTGACTCTTCAAAGGCAGCTAAACCACTGATTAGTTGACACCGAATCCCGGTAAATCCTCTTCTCTTCCTATCCTCAATACCATCACCCAACCAGATAGGTGACACCAGAGGTGTCCATATCGCCTCTAAATTTCAAATCTTTTTTTAAATTTGTATATTAATTGGTACATTTTAGGTATACAATACGTTTACATTTATCATTGGGTGTTTGTACCTGAACATGATGTATCTTAGTTCTTATTTTTTCCCCCATTACCTATGTGCCCTTCACCCCCACCACCCTTCCCTATTTACATAGACTTTATTTCCTTTTTTTTTTCTTTCTCATAATTTTTCCTTTCCTTTCTTCCCTTTCCCCTTCCCCTGCTCAATTTCAAATCTTAGGGTCTCTGTGTTCCATGTATCCCTAACATCCAGAGCATGCACCTGGTACATTGATCAGAGATAAAATTGTTCACTTTTCTGCTTGTCCCTGTCACCTCGAAAGCTATCTCTAACAAATAGATAGAAGTTCTTTGGAGAAAATATCTCCAAAGCTATTATTATTAAAGTCAATGAACCTAAAATGTACCAATAAAATTAATTTTTTTTAAAAGTCAATGGATAGGGACTTGGCTTAGTGGTAGAGCCTTTGCCTAGCAAGCATGAGGCCCTGGGTACAAGCCTCAGCACCACAAAAAGAAGGGGCAAAAAATCTGATAGGAACCTTTAACATTTACTCTCTACATTTCACAGGTTAATGAGAGGGTCAGGTTTGGCTGCTTTTGTGTGGTGACCAATTGCATCCTTCTAATTATATGCTGACTGGCAGATACTTGGGGTAAATACATTTGATAAAGATGCAGATACATCTGAAAAATAAAAATAGGAAAATGACTTCATCATTAGATGTTTGTTAGGTAAAATCTTTAAAAGCTTTACAGTGATGTCTGCCATATGAGGAAACAGTCCTCGGCACATAGATCCAGACTCCGGTGAGGACTCTTTCTCCACCCTCTGAATGTGTGCTTTTGCCTCCATAAATGGGATCAGGATTGTTCAGACTTAGAGCACTAGGATAGGCTGAGACTCAAATTCCAGAGGGACTTATCAGTAACAGTGCACTTGGGTTAGTTTCAGTCGGTAAGGGCAAGATTGAGGTCATAGTCACTGCTAGTGTCATTAACGAACTTCTGAGTCAGAACTACCAATGATGGTGTTGCCTGGCCCTGAACAATGAGAACAGGTCATTTGCATATATTTATTCAGATTATTCCTGTTTTACTTCTTTAGTGATTCTAGCATTTCTGCCCCTAAGACTCACTTTCTCTACTGCCCAACAAAACCTTTCCTTGCCAATTATGGCAAGAAGCTACTTTTTTTTTTTTGAAAGCAATGGTTGGACAGCAGAGTTTTATTTAACTCAGTTTTTTTTTCCCTTCTTTGGTTGTACAGAAATACTTACCTTCTTATTTTAAAAGACTAAAATGCAAAGGAAAGGTTGCCCAGAAAAAAAGTGGTACAGTTAGATTCCATATACTATACCTCTATGGGATCCAGTATACTATTCCTTGATCTTTTATTTGCTGTGCTGGGGATGGAGCCCAGGGCCTCACATGTATTAGGCAAGTGCTCTGCCACAGGGCTACATGCCAGCCACCTGTGTCTAAACACTTTAACTGTGTGGAGAATCAGCCCTTCCAGCAGGCTTCTGTGAGGGGGGTGGGGAACACTCACACTTCTCAGGACTGGAGGGAGAGAGGTGATCAAATTAGAATCTTGCCCCTATCATGGCTCCCACTCCACAGCAACTGCTCTGGCAGGCTTTCAAGGACCATCGGCCCTGGCTCCAGCTGCTTCAGCAGTAATTTGAAGAGGGTACGGGGACAGGAGAAGTGAGAATTTGAAAAGCACTCCATTATATAATAGCAGAGGCAGGAAACATATCTGGGCCAATAGCTGGATTCAGATTTCTGAAGATTTCATGGAGCCCTGTCCCCAGCCCATCAATTCCAGAGAATTTTCTCATTCAATTCTTGCACGGGGCACCTATGATGGTCAAGGAATCAAAGGGCCTTCAATCAGCTCTTTATCAGTAAAAATTACTTTGATCCAATTTTAGCCTAAAGCATTGTACACATTCACTTGTACCATGTCCCAAGGTGCAAAAATATCAACTAGACTTAAAAATGAACAAAATGACAAAATGAACCTTGAGGCTCCACCTTTTAACCAATCAAGAGAGATGCTTTTTTCAAGGACATTCCTGCATTTTTTTATTTGTGAGCAGAAATCTACTACACAAGAATTGTATCCTCTCAAGTCACTTTTAGAGCACCTGGCCCAAAGTTTGGCAGAAAGAAGGTACATGGTCAAATTTATTGGTAAATACTTCCACTTCAGCTAAGAAGGAGTTTTGTGTGACTTCAGAGTAAGGAAAAATAGAGAAAATAAATCCTTCAGAGTAAAGATAGAGAAAATAAATCCAGTGCCAAGTGGTTGTGCAAGACATGCTTTCAGGGCTCTTTGTTGTTAAGTCAACCTACTAGAACATCATCTCAGATGATCAGTACAATGACACAAAGAAGGATTTGCACTTTGAACATTGTTTGCTTCAGGAGGTTATGGGCCTTTGGTTATAGTGACTTTAGTCCAGATCCATAATTCCTAGTAAAGATTAACTTAATCTTTGCCAGTTAGGGACTGTTTCATTTGTCTTTAGGTAATTCAAAGTGAATATGATCAAGTCTGTATACATCAAGTGTATTAATCTGTTTTTGGTTACTATAAAGAAATTCCTGAGGCTTGGTACTTTATAAAGGAACAAGGTTTATGTAGCTCACAGTTTTAAAGACTCAAGAGCATGGCTTAGCTCTAGTGAGGACCTCATGGAAGATGGCATCACAATCATGAGAGAGAGGGAGAGAGAGAGAGAGAGAGAGAGAGAAAGAATCATGTGGTGAGACAGGAAGCCAGGATGAAGGAAAGGGTCAGTAGTGACCTCCCATTAGGCCCCACCTTCTAAAGGTCCTACCACCTCTTATCTTCTAACACAAGAACCTGTAAGGGACACACTGTTCCTATATCCACACCATAGCATCATGCCATTGGGATCAGCCAAGGACTTCCTGCTGTGATGAACACAGGTAGTGCCCTCTATGTTACCTTCTAATGATGCAGCTGATATCGACCCTGACATGTGGCAGTATGAGCCAGGTCCTTCTTATGAGACTTTGTAGAAAAGCATAGTTTTCAGCAGTGACAACTATCATTGTCCTTATAACTTCCAATAACTCTTTCTAAGTGGCTTACAAGATGACTCTTAAGATCTCCTATATTGACTATTGATTCACACTGTGATGATCTTCCACTTCCTGTCATAGACATTAGTGAGCCTGCTCCACACACTGTGGAGACACAAGTATCTTGACCAGCTTCTCAAATAGAGTACAAGTCTTAGCTTTTAATGTCAAACAAATAATAACGACCAGCTAGTGCTAGTTTAAATTGAGAAGAACATAGTTTCTCAAGGAAGCCCTTTGTAAGCAAGGCTTTGGTGTTTTTTCTGCAGGACTGACCATTAGCTTATGTATGTGAGCCAAACTGCAAGCCATGTTAGAGAATATAGATTGACCACATTTTGCTTATATCAGTTTTATAAATGTGCTGTATTTCATTTATTCAATTTCTTCTGCTATCACCTCTGGTGGGGGAGGGAGGTCCTAATTTGTCTGTCTCAAGAAGAAATAAAACTCCATGTGTGTGAATTCTAGAAGATGTCTGACTGTCATTAAAGTTTTCAATAGGCCCCAAAGGTGCCATTTCTGCTCAGAATTTGCTCAGGACAGAGAAGGTCTCTATCAGTTTGCCAGGAACACCCAAGACTCACGGATACTTCCCCATTTTTGTTCTTATCACTAGGAGTTGTTTGGAACAAATGAGGAATAATCAGATTTTGGATCAAATAGCTCTTTATTTATTTTTTTTTCTATTTTTGGTACCAGGAATCAAACTCAGGACCTTGCGCTTGCGAGGCAGGCAGCGGAACCACTGAGCTAAATCCCTGGCTCAGATCTTTATTAATTCAGAAACTAATCTGTTCTAGTCTCATTGTGAATTACTTCAGCAAACAAATTCTCACACACCTCAAACTACAGCACCCCCTGGTTACTATAATACAAATTTACATATATACCTCTAAATTAAAAATAAGTCTTACTACAGCTAAAGCCTGTGTGGCTATCCTTATTATTTTAGATAAATGGGATGATTGTGACATGGATATGAGCAAAATATCATAAGTTGTTCATATAAGAGCTGTAAAAAAATCTCACAAGTCATTATGAGTGAATGACAAAAGCAACAACAACAAAACTGCTGGCTTTCCTCTTCTATTAAACCAAAAATTTTTAAGAATAGATAGCTTCACACCATTTGTTACATAAAAAGTTTGTAAAGCAAGATTACTCAGAATCTTATGTCTACAGTCTTTGGTCCAGAGTGAAAAATAAAAATATGCTTACACACATGCTGATGAAGCATTTCCTAACCAAATGAAGTACCAACCACAGCAAAGAATGTGCAATTTTAAGCTCCCAAATCATAATGAATGAGAATGTAGTGTGAAGGAAAATATATATATTCCTTTCTTTTATGAGTCGAGTATAGAATATGCTGATATTTTACTACTCTACATGCTTGGTAGACATTTCATCAAGGAAGTGTGGGGAAGTATTAATGACTCCTTCTTGGAATTGCAACATATTTTACAGTGATGTAAGACCTCCATATATGACTATGACCTTATAAAGATTGTCACTGCTTATGTCCCTCAACAGCTCAGCCAGGTTACACCGTAAAGACCACATCAGGAGGGGTGAATATGTGGCTCAGTGGTAGAGCATGTGTTTAGCATCTGTGAGGCCTTGGGTTCAATCCCCATCACCACCAACATCAACAAACAAGGCCACATATGGAAAACAAAACAGCAAAAACAAAAATCAATTTCCAAAACAACAAAATGTAAACTAGGCAAAGCTGGGGAAGACAAAATCAGTTATTTGAGCTACAGATCTACTCCATATCATGAATGGCCACATTCCTTTGGAGAATAATATATTCCTCCCATATTGAATCCCTAGCAGATACTCACTGAAGTTTGTTAAAATCATTATTGTTATTTCTGGAAACCTAACTTCACTTGGGCATTTAAGAATAAATATTACTTTATTGAAAATTAGCTACTTGACTCAATATGCTTTGCCTCATATTTAATAAATTTATGTAGCCCTATAACAAATGTAAAGGAAGAAAATAGTGAGGAAAGAGCTTTACAAGGATCCAATGATTCTGTCTTCAAACATAGACTCCATGTACATCTACAGAATCGAAGCTTCTGGACATGTATATTTGAAAAATGTTAACTATGAAGGAGATGGTAAATTTTTTCTGAAATTCAGCATCAGGACTAGATTCCAAACTGTATACTTTTTTTGTTCTAATAATATTCTTCTCATCCTAGATGCTACAAAATTTGTCAGCCTCTGAGGGTCAGCTGGTTGTCTTTGAATGCAGAGTAAAAGGAGCTCCCTCCCCCAAAGTTGAGTGGTATAGGGAAGGGACCTTAATAGAAGATTCTCCAGATTTTAGGATTTTACAAAAAAGTAAGTTGATGCTTTAAAACTATTTTTCTGATCATTTATTTTATAGGTTTTTAGATACTGATTAAAAATACAGTAAAAAAAAAAAGTGAAATAGAAATCACCTATAATTCTATTCCCCCAAACTAAACCTGTTAATATTGTAGTGTATATTCGCCAAGAACTTTCCATGTATATTTTTGAATTATTTTTTCTTTTCTTTTTTTCTTTTTTTGGTACCAGGGGTTGAACTCGGGATGTTTCGTTTGTGAGGCAGGCACCAGAACCACTGAGCTAAATCTCCAGCCCCTACATGTATATTTTTAAAATAAAAATAAGTCATACTAGTTTTTGTAAATTGATTTTTTACTCAATATTTCATGGACATCTTTACACATTAACACATAGATTTGTTACCTTTTTGTGTGTGTATGTGGTTCTAGGGATTGAACAAAGGGCCTTTTCACTGAGCCACATCCCTATTCCTTAATTTATTTATTTATTTTTAAATTTTGAGACAGGGTCTTGCTAAGTCATTAAGTTGCCCAGGCTTAACTCATATTTATGATTCTCTTGCCTTAACCTCCTAGAGTGCTAGGACAGGCATATGGCACCACACCTGGCTAGATTTCTTACTTTTAAAAATAAGTTGGGGGCCAGGGATTTAGCTCAGTGGTGCTGACACCTGCCTCATAAGCGCAAGGCCCTGAGTTCAATCCCTGGTACCAAAAAAAAAAAGTGACCAGGCATGGTAATACATGCCTGTCATCTTAGCACTCGGGAGGCTGAGGTAGGAGAAGTATTCAAGGCCAGTCTGGGCTACACAGTGAGTTCTAGGCCAGCCTGAGCTACATAACAAGACCTGTCTCAAACACAACAACAACCAAATCAATAATATTAATTTTATATTTATTTAATCTTTGTTAAACATTTAGGTTGTTCACAGATTTTTACTATTATAACTATGTTTCAATGTATGTTAACAGAGCAAGTCTTTGTGGCTAGCTGTTACTTTAGAATAAACTTCTATTACTGAATTACTCCTGAGAACTCAAATTTTTGTAGGCTGTTAATATACATGGCCAAAAATGCCATCCCAAAAGGTTGAGCTAAATTTAGGATGGTCACACACAACTGTGAAAAAGCATTTTATTAATAAGCATGCAGGGATCCCGTGCATAAACTAGGTCTGGCCTAGTGGCTCTGGGACACGTGTCACCCTCACTGTGTTCCTCAAACCCAGCAATACATGGAAATGCCTGTCCCACACCTTTGCCAGCCATGGACATCAGCCATTTTAGTAAATCTGCACTAACTTTATAGAAATTATATATGGGCAGAATTAGTGTAAGCTGTACTTCACTAATTAGTTGTAGGATGGCCCTTTTTCATATTTATTTAGGTCACTGTATTTCTTCATTTCATATTGGGTTTTTGTGCTTCTTTTCTTGTAAGAATGATCTAGATATCTAAGGGGTTGATTCTTTTTTATTATATATGTACTACTTTCACTCTGTCATTCGGTGCTCTCTTTCTCCTTGATCAGTCATAAAATAAATTATAATTTATTTGCTTCTTTTTAAATATACATATTATATTGACTATGTAGAATAATTATTATAGAAAAACTTGGGAAGGAAATTTGCTAAAGTATTGTGTGAGTCTAGAGTTAATTATTTTGCTGCCTGTTGCATTTTTGTGTTTTTTCAGCTTTTCTATAATAAATATGTATAACTTTTATTTATTTTTACTTTTATCTTTTTTTCAAGGAAAAGAACACATAAAACTTATTACATTTTATCCCTAAGACATGGGGATATTAGACTTTTTCATTTTTTTAATGATAAATATTGTGTAATTTATCATATGCAACATGATGTTTTGAAATATATTCATTATAGAATGGTTAGATCAAGCTAATTAATATGTGCATTGCCTCACATATCATTTTTGTGGAGCATTATTTATGTTATTGTTAATTTGTTTCTTATCACAAAATAGTAGTACTTGGGTCAGTGTGATGCATGATTCCGCACGACTGTCAGATTTTAGCAGCAGTAGCAGCAACAATAATAAATCCTGAATACTGCTTAAACTGAGAGAGAAAAAAGTTCAGTGGTGCCATCCTTGTAGAAGATGTAACTAAGTTCAACAACTACTTATTGATTACCTACAATTCAATAAACATTCGTTGAATATCAGTATTCATTATCACAGTGGGTACTTGCAGGAATGCCAAAGAATTTTAAAATGAAGAAGCTTTTCCAGGGGAATCCATTACCTATCCTGAGGCTCTTGATCTTAAAAACCTCAGAGGAGAAAGTATTTTTTATATTTTATTGGGGCGTAAACAAAGAATGATCTCTCAGTCTTCACAGACTCGTTTTCAGGTGAGGCTAAATGGGTACCAATAAGAGCAACGTCTTTCTGAATCCCAGCTAACTCAGGAACATTTCTTCACCTAAGGTTTAGGGCCTCTGTTCCAAGAGGCAGTGGCATCACTTAGTTGCTCTCTTGCTGCCCTCTGTGTCCCTATTGAGGTCACTAGTGCTTAGGTCATTTTACTTAACCTTGACAGGTTAACCTTCTCAAACACTCCTGAATATGCAAGAGACTTTGAAATTCTATAGGAAGCTTCTGATAAAAATGTAGCCTCTCAGTAAAATAAATGTTCATGTTCTTTTAAATTTTTTTTTCCTTTTAGAACCTCGATCCATGGCAGAGCCAGGTAAAAATCATCTCAACTTTAATTTATCAATGTGCAAGGAGTGACTCGATCTATATCAGAAAACATGCTGATCCCAGCACTGGGTTGTTATTAGATTTTGTTGGACAAATATAAAGATGAGATAGATACAAGTAACAGTGGGTGAAGCTCTTACCACTAGAAAATATAAGTCACTCACAAAGCAGAACATAAACATCTGAATGCCCTCTCTGTGACCACTGTGAAAAATCAGGTTGTATTTGCAATCCTGGGTGAGAAAGATGGTTGGAATTTCCGTATTATAATTCTTCTGACAACCAAGGGAAGGGCATTCCAGAAGACACTGAACATCCAGGTCATATGCCCTGCACTGGGCCCTTTTCTGCATAGCAAAGACAGCACTGGTCTTGCTCTTGGAAGGGGTACTAGTATGTCTATGGTGGCTTCGCAGCCAGTGTTTCTAGAGGTGGTCGAGGCAATTTTATTTTTAATTATCATGAAGCACTGAGGTGCCAAGTTTCTCCACATACAACTATGCTTTAATAATTTTGTTTGTTGGGGCTACTGAGTGACAACCAGGGGTTTATGTAGCTGTCCTATATCTCCTCTTCATTAGTTGTCAAGGAATGTCTGACCATAGTAATTTTAGGCTATGATCATATGGTTCTAGCTGGGAATGACTTCCATGGTTATTCACAGGGATTTGTACTGTGTATCAAAGTAATCCATAAGAATATTTTTTTCATAAGAATATTTTTATTAGTATATATTTGCAGTACATGGTGATTACATTCCTCGTGGGGAGTTGGTGAAGCTATATAATGCATCTTAATTTTTTTTTTACCATAGTATTTACAAAGGTAGAAATGGATTTCCCTCTCCTTTTACCCAGGGTTTATATTTACCCTGTCAGCTAATTACTACCACTTAAACAAAATATTTATTTAATGTCCAATTTTAAATTGTGGCCTTTGTTTAAAATTACCTTACTGTAAAAGTTCCCCCATGGAAATAATGACAGATCTGGGTTCAGAAAATGTGCTATTTGGGCATTTAATTTGTTTTTGTGATTTGGGGGTTTTTTGGGGGTTTTTTTTGGGTACCAGGGATCGAACCTGGGACCTTGCACTTGCAAGGCAGGCACTGGAACCACTGAGCTAAATTCCCGGCCTTGGTTTTAAGTTTATTCTTACTCAGTTCCATTTTCACCATCTGGATTGATGGCATAAAAATAGAAGATAATCTCAATTTTCACAATATGCAATTCATTATTGTAAAATCCCTTTGTCAGCATCAGCCTGTCCGCACTGAGGTACTGGTTCCATCCTTTGACTCATTTAGGTTGCTAATCAATCAATTCAATCAAATAATTATTTTTACCAATTGTTTTCAAAGAAAGACTATAGTTGTTGACTCTTGCAGAATCCAAATCTGCTATCAGTGAATTCCGTAATTCCATTCTCATGATTAAGTCAGCAATTATTCTTTATTGGCATGTAGAGGAGATCTGCACCTTGGTCATTGCTGAGGTGTTTGCAGAAGACTCTGGGTGCTTCACGTGTACTGCGAGCAACAAGTACGGCACAGTGTCCAGCATCGCACACCTTGATGTGAGAGGTGAGGACTCCTGAAATACCAGTACAGTTCAGACTATGAATCTGAACATCAGCATGCAGAGCTTGTGTCAGCTTTCTTTACTGTTTCACATTTTGAATTCTTGAGGAAAGTGGTTTTTTCAGTTTTGTGTTTTTGTTTTTGTTGTTTTTTGAGACAAGGTCTCGCTATATAGTTCAGGCTGGTCTTGAACTCACAGAGATCCTCCTGCCTCAGCCTCCCAAGTGCCAGGATTACAGGTGTGCAGCACCACACCAGCTGAGGAAAGTGTTCTTGAGCAATGCCAATTTTCAGTTTCTTACTGGACTTAAAGCCACCCCCTCCCCAGTTATCCTGCTGTTGCTCTTATACTTCCTAAGAAAACATCTCCTTGATCTTGTGTAAACTTCCAAAAGAGAACTTAGATTTTTGAGTTTAGTTCTTCACAGCTTCCTCACAGTTCTTTAATGCACCGGATTCTGATCTGATTTTAACAAGCATTTTCCGACTTCTAAGCTCCCTTGGCTTGGTATTTTTCCAGTTGCACACATGCCCAGTGCCAGGTTAAAGCCCATCTCGGTCTCATTAGACAAGGCTAATGGCTCGGGTCCTGTGATTGTCCTTTTAGGAAATGAAGACCTCAGCAACAATGGGGCTCTTCACCCAGCCAACTCCACTGCCCACCTGGCTGCTAGTGAGCCTCAGACACCTCTCCCCAACCTGGAGCCTCCTTCTGCAGAGCAACCCCACAAACCCAAACTCGAAGGGGTCCTGGTGAACCACAATGAGCCCCGGTCCAGCTCCAGGATCGGCCTGCGTGTGCACTTCAACCTGCCTGAAGACGACAAGGGAAGCAAAGAGTCCTCTGAAAGGGCTGTGGTGACCACCACCCAGACCAGGCCTGATTCCTTCCCAGAGAGGTTCAACGGGCAGGCAGTGAAAATCCCTGAGCCTTCCTCCCCCGTCAAAGAGCCCCCTCCAGTTCTGGCCAAACCTAAACTGTAAGTAAAGATAACAAGTGTGCCCGTGAGCGGCTCTTGAATCTGACCTTCTTAAAAATAATGGAGTTTAAAGAAGGAATTGCCAAATGAGAATGAACATGAAGTGCATTGAGAAAGCACATCCTCATGTCATTATAGTGTATGCTCACTATTGTCTTGTTATTAATACTCTGTCTCCAAGAGGTGTTGCCCCTGAACAGACATTTTTCTAATGTTAGAGTCTCCAGGTAAAGCATTTTGTCCTCTTTGTAGCCCTTTCCTGTGTCTAATAATCTTTCACCCTAGCATTTTCCATTTCTGCTTCAACTTGAGCGTTGCTGCTCATCATGGAAAGCTATTTAGTATTACCCAGATAATCTGTGCTGTTGCTAGCTACACGGCAGTAACCATCAGACCCTGGAAAAATGTAACAGGATGAAAGAGGTCATGGTCTTCTGACTAAACCCAGGCACCTATTGTAGTTGTGGTCTGAGCTCTCTAGAGGATCTTTCAGGGCCATGTTGTGACAGTCAATGTTGATTCATAGCAAAGAGAGAATGGAGCATACTACTTTGTTCTGTTTCATCCATGCACCAAAATGATAGAAATTACCTCTAGGTTTCCATAAACCTTCACATGTCAGTGAGAAAATCTACAGCAACAGTGTTCCGTCTCTGTCTTGCTCAGTGCTGACTGTGAGATGTCACTGGGCACAGTTGGCCTTGTTTACTTTTGTTACAGAACTGGGCAGGTTTTGCCCACCACACGGTGTGCCAATCACTGAAATGGTGAGTTTTACAAGAGCTTGTTCACCAAGCAAGAGGTCAAGTCTCAAATCCATCTACCCGAGGATGCACTTTAGGGGTATTTATGGGCTGATGTGTGGGGAAAGGTGTCCAAACTTTCTTAACTGTTACCATTGGGACCAGGGCTTCAGAGCTGCTATCTCTAGTCTACTAAAAGTGAGTACCTAGAAGCAGGTGAAGTCTAGAAGGTTTATTTGGAACAAAGAGCAGGTAGTTTATTCAAGTTTTCCCCCAGTTTCATTTTCATATTTTCACCACAAAAGGCAAAATTCTTGGTGTAAAATTCAATCTTATGAAACATCCCTCTAATCAAAACTTATCCAGAAATGACTCAGTCCCCTCAAGTTCTGCCAGTCACAGGAAGCAGGAATCTACTTAAACTAAAAAGAGGGGAAGAGATTCTTGCAGGGTGTGATCAAAATATACAGAAAATGTTTACATTTTTAAAATGTGTAACAGTAAAAGACACATTGCCATGAACCCCCCTCACAGTACTCCCCCTTCACTTCAAACACATATCCCATCATTCTTGCCACTTTCTGAAGCATTTCTGGAAGTCCTCTTTCATGAGTGACTTTACAAGATATAATTAAAATTATGGTGACTGCTGCTGAAAAGTGCCATTCAGTGGAACAGCAGGTTGATAAAAACTTGATAGTGTCTCTTCCTCTACCTTATGAACAGATTCTGGCACCTTGTGACTTCTGCCTCTTCCCCAAGTTCAAAATGACCATGAAAGGTAAATGTTCTGAACTGTTTAAGGACATCAAAGTGCCATGAGAGTGCAACTAAAGACACTCACAAAAGAGGACTTCCAAAACTGCTTCAGACAGGGGCGAGAACAATCGGATAAGCAAGGGAGATTAATAGCAATGTGTCTTTTTATTTATTTATTTATTTTGGTACCGGGGATCGAACTCGGGTCCTTGCGCTTGCGCAGCAGGCAGCAAAACCACTGAGCTAAATCCCCAGCAATGTGTCTTTTACTGTAATAAATTTTTAAAAATTTAAACATTGACCATATTTTTCAATCATACCTTATAGGCAGGAATGGAAAATAAAATGCAGCCAAACCCTGCAGGAGAATGGGAGAGTTGAGAGCTAGGCTTCCTAGGCTGTTGCTCAGGGGTCACATGGTCCTCCCAGCCTCTGTCCACATGACTGGCTCTTTGTCTGTCCATCGTGTGAACATCTTGTTTCTCTTTCCACATCTGCTCCATCTTCTCCCTTTGCTGGCTCGTCAGTCCAGCTGTGCTCCTTCGTGGCCATGTCCCCCTTCTACGTCATGATCTGGGTCAAACACCACTGCTAACTCAGTTGATCCCAGAAACTTGATTCCAAATCCCAGTTGCTATATCCTGCTCAGGTGACCACCCCACCATTCAGCTGTGCAGAGGATTTGTGTTTGCAAGGAAAAGGAGGCACATAGATCACATCAGGAACTCTCAGAGAAGGGAGTCATTGGGGATAAGTAACCCCACACAACCTCCAAGGGGATTACCTTCTTTGTGGGGTTTTCTCTTACCCTGGGTTGTGTTAGGGGCTATTAGGTATGTCAGTTAGGGTCGAGTTCCATAACCCAAAAAATCCAAATTGACAGGCATTAAACTTGGGGATTTATCTTCTCTCACATAAAGGGAGTAGACAGAGTGTCTGGGGCTGTCCTATCCTCATTATGAACGAAGTCTCCTATGTTTCTTCTCTGCCATCCCCAATGGGGCTTCTTCTTCAGGACCCTCCCAGTCCAAGACAATGATGGTGGTCTAGTTATCACATCTTCATTTAAAACAGCTGGAAGGGCAAATGGGCAGAAATCACACTCTGATGTCAGAAGCCTTCTTGGAGGTCTGGTCCAAAATCTCCTTGTGTCTCATTGGCCAGAATTTGGTCACGTGGTACACTAATTGCAAAGGTGGCTGAGAATTGTTGTCTTTAGCTGCACATATTACCACTGTGCATAAAATCAGGTTCTTTACAAAGGGGAGAATTAAATAGTGCTGTCTGCCATATGAGAATTCCAATTAATAAAAAAAAATTCTTTCTACTGTTACGTAGTGGTTCCCTCTAAAAAGCCAGCCCTCCATACTATATACTTCCTTAGTATTCTTTGCCTTCCTTCAGTATTCTCTTTATTTTGTCATAGGGCCAGGAGAGTTGGAACTATAGAGTTGCACTACACTCTGAATTAAATTGAGTCCTTTATTATTGTCATAAGCCAGCAATAAAGAATGGCTCACGCCAGAAAAGTTCTCAGCAAAGGAAAGGCAGTTTGCAGGGTCCTTTTAACGGCTCTTCTATTTGGGGAGGGCTCAGGGAGAGGGGGAGCACAAGTGGAATTTCACAGGACCAGAACTTTGCTAAGTCAGTAGGGGTCAGAGGCAGTGTCACACAGTTTAATTAAAACAAAGTATCAAAATAAATGAATAAAAATAAAACAAAGTATCACACAGGTGGTTGGGGTCTTCTGTTTACAAGATAGTAAAGATAACATAGTTGCAGACTCACCAGCTTCAGAGCATCCTGTTTGCAAGGCAGCAAAGATAACATAGTTGCAAACTCACATAGGATATGGCAGTCTGTCATGCATTAACTGAGGGGACTCCCAAGGGGGAAGGGGAAGGAGACCACCTGGAATTACTCAACTACACAAATGGAGTCAGGTTGGCTATCACAATTTATGTGTGTATATGTTTGTATTTGGATAGGTACAAATGTACATGCTTATCCATACACACACTTTGTGAACCTACAGGCCTACAACTCCTCTTACTAATTTTTTAATTGACATACAGTAATTATATGTATATATGGGGTTTGATGCATGGATACGATGTGTAATGGAGTAGTCAGCGTAATTATCATATCCATCACCTTGAACATTCATCGTTACTTTGTGTCAGGACTTCTCTTACTAGTTGCAACCTCACAGGTTTTGCATTAAAATACACACTCATTCTTCTCAGTGATAGCTTTTTTTTTTTTTTGCTTATCTCTTTGATTTGTCATTCATATGGAAAATAGAAATAATGTAGATCTCAAAATGGCTACAGAAAGAAGAGCTGTCATTTTCAAACAGTGTAGCATCAAAGCCCACATAATTCTGACTTTGAAATCTTTGTTTTGAATACCAAGCTGTTTAAAGCAGTGATTCTTCCTGGCTGTACTGGAGAGTGAAATGTGGAGCTTTAAAAAATATGTATGGCCTCCATCTCAAATGAATCAGAATCTCTTCCCAGATTATCTTGATGTGCAGCCAGCTTGGAAACCACTGGTCTAGAATTAGAGAAATTAGAGAATTAAGAGAAGTAACCTGAGCAGCCACCTTTCCCATCACTCATCCCTCTACCCCAGGGAGGGAAAAACAAAAATTAACATTTAAAAGTGGGTACAATGTCAGACAAAAATGAGAACATATTGGAGAGCCCCTGCTTGGAGATTAGCATTGCTTCAGAGCAGTGGCCCTGAGGCATGGGTGCAGGTAAGGTCCTCTAGGGCCTTGGTTTGTAAACTGCCTGCATTGGTCGGCTCAGACCTAACAATCAGAAACTCTAGGGTGTGATGGACCAGGAAGTGTTTTAACTGGCTCTGCAGGAGATTCTGAGGCTTGCTTAAAGTTTAAGAACAACTGTTTGTTTGTTTGTTTGTTTGTTTTTTTGTTTGTGACAAGGTCTCACTATGTAGCCCAGGCTGTCCTCAAACTCAAGGCAATCCTCCTGCCTCAGCCTCCAGAATGGTGGGATCACAGGTGTGCTCAACCACACCCTGCACCTAACCTACATTCTAAAAGATAATGACCTGACTGTGCCTGCATCCCTTTGCAGACTAATTTACTCTCTGGTAATTTACTGGTGATTTAGCAGAAGGTTTGCTTCTGTTTTAGTCTCCAGATGACTATGATGTGCAGCCAGCACAATGAGCACTGTTAAAATCACAGCATGATGGAGAGGGGAGAGAGGAAGGGGAGGGAAGGGAAGGGGCTAACAAAAAGAATTAAGAGGCCAGGGATGTAGCTCAGCAGCACCACGCCTGCCTGGCAAGCACAACATCCTTAGTTCAAGCCTTGATACAAAAAAAAAAAGAATTAAAATGTGTTATGTACATGCACCAACTCCATATGAGGAAAATTATGATCATTATGTACTGCAAACATGGACCAATAAAAATTCAACACACACACACACACACACACACACAGAGCACACCTCAGGACTGGTTATCCTAACCAGCGACATGCTGGGAAATGTTTCACAACTGACAGGGGCAAGAAAGCCCCCAAATGTCAGCATTTGCCAATTTCCTCCCACCACAGCAGATCTGGGGCCACTGAGAGAGGTTGCCAAACGGGTCACTGCAACACAGTACACACGAACTGTCCTTCACAGGCAGGGAGAGCCGGCGCCACCACACACTGCCCAAAATGCTTGCCAAAACTGCTTTCAAAAACTACTCCATACCCCCGTAATTTTTATGATTGTCTCACATTTTATCTCAAAAATTCAAAATCCCTAATAAATTCCTTTGGATTCTTTGTAATTCTGAAACTAATCATTCTTAACAAATCTCGAAAATGGACTTTCGTGATTCAGAAGCTTAAAAAATGTAATAGCCACCATTTCTTGATCACTTATACGTTTTAAGTGATTTGTCAATTCTCACAACAACATTGTAGATGTTACTATTTTACTTATAAAGAAATCAGGGTCAGAAAAGTCTAGAAACAACCCCAAATCATACAGATAATGAGTGACTGAGCAGGGCAGGTGGTGCACTCCTGTAATCCCAGCATTCAGAAGGCTGAGGCAGGAGGATTGCCTCAAGTTTGAGGCCAGCCTAGGCTACATAGTGAGAACCTGTATCAAAAAAATAAAAGGGTAACTGAACGAGGATTAGGACCTAAGTCTGCAGATCCATATGCTTAAACTAAATTGTGGCAAAAAAGGATTAAGGAAAGAGAGTTAATGAATCTATGGAAAGAACCTGATATCAGATACCCTCATAGCGATAAGAAATGAGCAGCTGAGTTTATAGCAATTTATGACAAGCTATTAGTTCGAATAAGAGAGCTTACTCAAGAGTTTAAAACTCTTATGCCTTGGGCGCCCGGGGATTTAGCTCAGTGGTTTCCCCAACTGCCATGCAGGCACAAGGACCAGAGTTCAATCCCCAGTACCAAGAAAACCAAACTCATGTGCCTTGTAATTAATCTTCCCTTCTTTCCTCCTTTCATTGCACTTTGTACCTTTACTAGAAAATGGTAGCTAAGTTCCACTCGGTCCACGTGGTATTCATAAGTAGCCAGTGGCTATTAGAGATCAGCACTGTAGGAACCTATGCCTTACTGGGCTCATTGGCCTCAGTAGCTCATACTGTCTCAGGCAGATCTCCAGCTCCTACCTAGCAAAACACACAAAGAAGACTCAATAAAAGTTCCCTGAACAGCAGAATCAATACCTTGCCCTGGCCCCATAAGAAGGTTTTTTTAATGAAAAAAAAGACCCTGTTCAAACAAAAGATGTTATTGTCAAATAAATTGTTCCAGAATCCCAAACAAAATAATTTAACACTGCAGTAATAGATCATTTTATTTAAGGTTGGCAATTCTCTGTAATCCAAAATATTGCACTGAATATTGAGGCTAACATACCATTTGAAGTCTTAACTTACAGGAGAAAACAGAAGCAGCTTGAATGCAATGGAAAGTAAAGGAAAATAGGAACAATTCAATACTGAATGACTTCCTGGCCCCTCTTTATCATCTTTTCTTTCTAAAATTACTTTTTCATTCACATCTTTGCAATTCCCATAGCCACAGTAAAATATTTCCCCAGAGTCATCAGATTAAAATTTACTCAGACCACAAACATACACTAAAAGCCATATAATGCTCTTTATATCAATCACAGAATGTGACCTGCCACTCCTGGCTTGGTGGCACACGCCTGTAATCCCAGCATGTGGAAGGCTGAGGCAGGAGGATCACCACAAGTTTGAGGCCAGCCTGGGCTACCTAGTAAGTTCAAGGACAGCCTGAACAGTGAGACCCGGTCTCCAAAAGAAAAAAAAAGCAGAATGTGACTTGCCAAATATGAGATCTGTTAAAAACGAAAAGATTTTGCACTTACATACCATGGAGAAAGTCAACACCAACAGAAACAATACTTGTATCTATCTTTTTCTGTGGAACATCCAACAAAGATATTGCTTTTGTTTCTTTTTCTTTTTTTTTTTTTTTTTGGTACCAGGGGTCGAACTCAGGACCTTGAGCTTGTAAGACAGACCCAGTGCTACTGAGCTAAATCCCCGCCCAGATATTGCTTCTTTTGATTGTTTCATCTTTCAATTATGAAGAAATGAAAAGATTTAGTTACATTTTAATTATGCTACTTTATTCTCACAGCTTAAATAGTTACTCCTAAAATGGGGGAAAGAGGACCACAGATGTAGTTCACTGGTAGAGAGCTTGCCTAGCATTGGTGAGGCCCTAGGTTTGAACCCCTAGCACTACAAAAAATAAAAAATAAAACAAAATAAAATGGGGAGGTGCTGTGCCAAGTAGCCAATATGCCTAAATTCTTAGCTGAACTCAACAAGAGTTTTTTCATAAGATAAACAAAGGCTTATTCAGCGTGCAGCATTCCACAGCAGTAATAGAAGTGGAAATGGACCTTTACTTGTGATGTTACCTTTTTTTACATATGATGTATTGGCGATGTTAATGAAATGAAGAAAAAAGATTGTAAACTCCAGGAATTAAGAAAAATCAAGCCAGGCACAGTACACACATCTATAATCCCAGTACTTAGGAGGCTGAGGCAAGAGGATCACCACAAGTTCAGGGCTAGCCTGGGCTATTTAGTAAGTTCAAAGCTAGTGTGAACTACATAGCAAGATACTGATTCCAAAAAAAAAAAAGTTAAGGGCTGGGGATTTAGCTCAGTGACGCTGCACCTGCCTCAAAAGCGCAACATCCTGAATTTGATCCCTGTTACCACAAAAAAAAGAAAGAAAGAAAAGAAAAGTTAAGAAAAATCAAGGGGCTGGAGGGTGCGGCTCAGTGATAGCGTGTGCGGCTCAGTGATAGCGTGTGCTTAGCATGCACGAAGCCCTGGGTTCAATCCCAAGCACCCAGACAGATCGCCCTCTATGTCCTAGAAGCAACACAGATTTTCAAACATAAAACCCAGTCACCTTATTAATCACCCTCTCCAGGGTTCCTCATTCAGGAGTAGACTCTCCTAAACAGCCTTGGTGACTTCATGAATGCATGATTTTTAAGAAATTGTTATTCCTTTCTCTGCATTTTAAAAAATTTGCTTTTTTTTTTTTTTTGGTACCGGGGATCGAACTCGCATCCTTGCACTTGCACAGCAGGCAGCGAAACCACTGAGCTAAATCCCCAGCCCTTGTATTTTAAAAAATTAACTGGATTGTGAAAAGAAATTAAATAAAAGGTGTAGGACATATGGCAAATCACATATGCTTCTGTAACCCAGGTTCCTATAAGTAGAGAAACCATTCCTAGCTTATCTTCTTTCTCTTTTTAGGAACAACAACAACAAAAAGTCCAAGACAATGTTTCTCATCAGGGTGACCATATATTTTATCACTCAGAGTCTGACACTTCTGAGAGTGCAAGTGAATCCTGGGAATCCTTACACCGAGAAAACAGGTGTAGCCAGGACTCTTAGTGAACAGGACCGGTGTTCACCCTATGTATAGAGCTTTGTGGTCGGGAGAGGATGGGGGCATCCGGCATCCAGCCTCATTGATGGGGAGAGGACTCAAGTGTAGCTCAGTGGTGGAGGGCCTGCCTAGCGTGTTCAAGGTCCTGGGTTCCAGCCCAGGCACAGAGCCTGACAAGGTGTGTTCTGTTAGTGAATCCAGCCTCATAATAACCCGCACTTTTGTGCAGCTCTGTGTCTGAGTTCCCAAGCTGCCATGAGAAGGTCAAGCACTGCCAACAAAAGAAATATTTTTCTAACCCATAAACATTGTATGTTGCACAACTCCAGGGTCACAACACAAAGAACACGACGTGCATGGCGTCCTCAGCAGGACGGAAAGCCCAGCAGCTCTCCAGCGAGTCGCACTTGCTTTCTTGCCATTTCAGATGTGTTTGTAGCCAGCACCAAGCCCGTGCACTGCAGGAGGGCGAGGCTGGGGTAACATGGCCCTCTTCTCTCCCCACCCTTGTTCTGTGTGCAGCGATTCCACTCAGTTACAGCAGCTTCACAACCAAGTCTTGCTGGAGCAGCAGCAGCTGCAGAACCAGGCCCCTGCGTCGCCGAAGGAGTTCCCTTTCAACACAAACGTGGCGAACTCCACGGCTCCCTCCGCAGTGGCCGTCTCCAGCAAGCAGCTGAAGGCTCCTGCGTCGCCCTCGTCGCAAACCCTCAACCTGGCCAGGCCGAAGCATTTCTTCCCCTCCTCGAGCACCATCGTGACCACCATATCCCCCTCTGGCTCTCCAGTGTTCACCTTGAGCAGCGCACCTCAGACGATTCAGAGGACCGTGAGCAAGGAAAGCCTCTTATTTTCTCCCCTCTCCATGCAAACCAAGTCTCCAGGGGGGCTTTCCATCCACAGCGAGCCACCCCCTCCAGCCCCAGCAGAGCCAGCTCTGCCACCACTCACGTTCTCCATCCCCAGCGGAAACCAGTTTCAGCCCCACTATGTGTCCCCAACTCCTGTCTCTCCCACCGGCCGGATTCAGAACCCTGTGGCATTCCTCAGCTCTGTCCTGCCTTCTCTTCCTGCCATCCCACTCACCAATGCCATGGGGCTGCCAAAGAGTGCACCATCTGTGTAAGTGTCATTGAGGGGTCTTGGTGTAAGAGATGTCAGCTGAAGCTGGGCGTGGTGGCACAAGATTGTAATCCCAGCACCCAGGAGGCTGAGGCAGGAGGATCCCGTGAGTTCGAGGCCAGCTTGGGCTACATAGGGAGTTCAAGGCAAGCCTGAACTACATGGCAAGACCCTGTGTCAAAACAAAACAAATCAAAAAAGAGAGAGAGAAAGAGGCCAGTTGAGAATATTCTACTAATATGCATAATAGAATAGCTTGGTCTGTAACAGGTCCCTTGTTAGCAAATTCCTAGATAATCATATCTTTTAGACACAAGATGGATATTGAAGACTTCAGACCAAAGCCCATGATTACTATGAATAATTTTAATAATCAAAAAATATATTTATATTTATTTTAATATATTTTATATAAAAATATTTAAAAGACCTCTACAAACACAGAGTCTCTATACCGTGCCCAGTACCATAAATGCCTAATGACAGCTTGTGTCTGGTTGTCACTTCAACCACTCTCATTTCTGGGCCTTTGTACGCTGACTGGAGTTTTTCATGAATGTGTTGGTGTGAATTTATTTTACAGGCCATCCCAGGGACTAATGAAGAAAAATACAAAGTCTTCTCAATCAGTGAGTGGCGATTACATTCTCGAAACTAAGAATGCAGTGATTCTAGACTTGGGGAAGAAAACGAGTTTCAGTGATGTCAAATCAAACCAGCAGGTAAGATTGTTGGACTCAGATGGAGTGATGGAATTTTAAAGTTTGATTTTAAAAGTAAGCACACCAGGGCCAAGGATTTAGCTCAGTGGCTCTGGAGCCTGCCTTGCAAGCGCAAGGTCCCAAGTTCGATCCCTGGTACCAAAAAAAAAGTAACTACACCAAAAGATTAACAATAACTAATAACAAAATGAAATGATTATAATGATATGCTATAATAAAAGTTATTTAAAACATATGAATTGTTTACTTCTGAAATTTTCTATTTAATATTTTTGGAGCCTGATTGACCACAAGTAACTGAAACTGTAGAAAACAGTATGGTGAATAACAGTATACAAGGAGTATACAAGGAGAAAGATGAATCTGTTGCCTGTTCCAGCAGTCCGCAGCTTGGTTTAGGCAAACACCATTATGTCTTTGTGATAATTCCCTAAATGAGCCTTGAGATAATTAAAACTTGAAGGGACACTGAGGTTCCAAACTGTCTTTCCTTTGACTCCTTCAACCTCAGGTGCCCAGAAGTCTGATCGCCCATTCTTCTAGGTCGTTTATTAGGTTGAATCTCATGAATGGTCATCAGGCAACATCCTGTGCTCCACCCTGTACAGTTCTGTGCTTCCTAGGAAGTTTTGATGCTGAAGGAGAAAGGAAAGCCACGAGTGAGCACTGTGCAAAAAAAAGATAGACTGAGTGTTGGCTTACTTGGACCATTTATTTGTGCGTTTGATAATCAAATGGGGTTTGGTTGTTTGTTTTGTTTGGAGACAAGGTCCCACCGTGTGGTTCAGGCCAGCTTTGAATTAGCTTTGTAGCCCAGGTTGGCCTTGAACTCACCATGCCCTGTCTCAGTCTCTAGATCAACTAATCATTTTTAAATGAGGGTTTACATTTTAATAATCTAGGGCCCCAGGATTTAGCTCAGTGGTTCTGGTGACTGCCTCGCAAACAAAAGGTCCCAAGTTTGATCCCTGGTACCAAAAAAAAAAAGAAACATTTTAATAATCTAACTCTTGTTTTATTTTCCAAGATGGGAACTGATAAAATCTATTTTGAAATATAACAAAATCTTAGTTAAAAGAATATGCTAAATATTGCAGAATTTGTTCCGTAAGGACTCCTAGAATCAAAACTCCAGGTTCCCCTGAGCACATCTGTTTTCCATGGTGTTTCCTCTCCTATTCCCAGTGGAGAACATTGTACAGTGCAGCTGTACAATACTTTACTATTGTGTACTATGCTGGGCCAGTTCTAAGTGGACTCTTGAAAATGTGCTACTTAAGGCCTTCAGATTTTGGTTTTAAATCACTGAACTGAAGCAGAGTATTTAAACTTCCAAGTACTTTTCATATTACTGTTTCCCCAAATTACATATTCTGCGGCATCATCCCCTTCCATCTCTCCTAGTGAAGGAACTGAAGCACAGTCATCCAGCGGTTCATGCGGGACTAGAACCAAAGCCCTGGTCTCCAGGATGCTTCACATTTTCCTGAAGCTCACAGCCTTTTTCAGCTGTGTAACAACAGTTACCTTCAAGCTCCATAGAAGTTGCTCTGTAGAGCACAGATTTGTTTTCCTATGACACTGTCACCACGTTTGTGGTTGTTAGTCCTTCTAAGTGGCAATGAACTAAGAGCTGTGTTCAGCCTGTCTTTTACAAGAGATAGTGATTAGACCCCTGTAGAAAGGATACTGGCTCTGCACAGGAGCTGTTTGATTTTACTTTTCTGGTTACTCTGTAGGTAAATCCAGGTTGGTCCTCTCCCCAACTCATGGGAAGGTAGGATTTTTCTCTTAATTACCTGAGCCGTGAGTACTCGTTAATGTGAACTTCCATGAGTTCAGTGCAGTAAGAATTCTCTCAACCCTCCATCATGAGTATCTTTGGAGCCAGTAGCAGGAACTGGGCAAGTTTCTAGAACCATCTGACTATGCCAGTGATGGTGAAGCCCCCAAACTGCAACCTAAAACCCACTTATTTATTGCAAAGTGCCAACACTGCAATTAAACCTGAATGCTCAGCTGCCAGGGTGATGCTGGGGCGACTTGGCTTGCACGCCAACAGAGAGGGCTCTGCGGACCCACTGCAGCAGCCATGCCATACGTTTGCCACCACTAGTGTATGCTATGCCTTAGTCTCCTTAGAGTGTTTGTTCTAAGAATTATTACAGTTAAATTACTTCATTACAGAATTGGTCTCAGGCTTCATTCTTTGCCATGCATGCTGAAAGTCAAACTGCATAAATGAAATTCAGGAAACTAAGGGGCCATCTGGGATAGAATGCCTGCATTAGGTCAGCAGCTGTTGATTCTGAAGAAGTTTTAGGAGATGAAACAATGACCACATTATGATATTGTTTTGTCCACTGCTACCTTGAAAAATGATAGTGAAAATGTCACGAGCCATCTAAGATGCAGTATCACCCATTGGTAAGGGTGTTAGCCTAGGAAATCATCAGACCAGTGGACAGTTGGTGGACAATCATAAATACTTATGTATCCATAGATTTTTTTTTTTTTACCTGCAGTCTGGGGACATGAGAATCAAAATAATCTGTTTTCTCCCATATTAGTCTATAAATGATTGCTCCTGAAGAGCATGCATCTTTTTTTGTCTTATTTTGCTTTGAAAACTTTTAGAGGGGCCAGGGGTTTAGCTCAGTGTTTTCGCTGCCTGCTGCGCAGGTGCAGGTACCCAAGTTCGATCCCTGGTACCAAAAAAAAAAAAAGAAAACTTTTAGGTCCAGAAAACTGGCTTCTCTTGTTCTATTTTAGTCCTCAGCAAATAAAGAATAGTGACTATTCTAGAATATTTGTGTGATCCAGCATTACCACATTGTGCTAAGCGTGACAATAAATCAGAAGACCTTGAATGGTGAATATTGCTGACTATAAACAATTTCCCCCTCAGAATTATAACTTACAAATTATGCTTTAGAAAAATAGGCTGGCCAGGCATGGTGCTGCATTCCTATAATCCCACCACTTAGGAGGCTGAAACAGGAGGATCACCATGAGTTCAAGTCCAGCCTGGACTATATAGTGAGTTCAAGGCCAGCCTGAATTACATAGTGAGACCCTGTCTCAAAAACCAAAAAAGAAAAAGAAAAACGGGCATGCTTTGATATATCCAGTACTTTGTATTTCTCCTGTAGTATTTCAGTGTTTGTACTCTAACTCATGACATCATTTCCAACTAGCAATTAACATTTGCTGTTGATTCTTAGAACTTTACTAAAATTTTAGCTTCCTAAACTGACAGTGAATTGTTTGTGCTGTTGACAAGCCAACATTTGTAGATTTTAGGCTAGTTTGTTTCTTATTCTGGGTACCATTTATCACCAGTAGAAATTTAAATGGTTTAGGTTAGTGCAGTACATCTGAGAGGTCGAAGAAACCCAGGATCACAAAATATAATGGAGCCTTTGTGGCCAATGATTTTACATCGCTCATGACTCAGCATGGTGTTCTGCACCATCAGCAAATATTTGTTGACTTCTAGTTACTATTAATTTTAAAATCTTTACAGCACGTCCACGCCCCATCCAATGTCATTTCCAACTTTCCTCCTCGACCTCATTTCTCTGGAAACCATCTCCCTCTTTATTCTGCTCCTCCTACCCCGGGATTTTTATTAATGTTTCTTTAAAACTGTCTCTGTTTGCTAGATACTGCCTGGTATGACAGGCAGGGCCAAAAATAAGTACCTGAGTCTTGCTCTGCCTTCTGTTCCTCTAATCTCCTTCTTCTCTAAGCTGCCTGGTCATTTCCTCTGTTTAAATTCTACCTCTTTCATCTCTTACCATAAATCTACTTCTTAAGGAGAGGTTTATTTTGGCTTCTTACCCTGAGTTCTTTAAGACAGTCCTCTTCTGTGAGCAAGCAGTCATGGCTCCATTCCTTTTCTAATAAGAATGACATATTGGCCTCCCATTGCCATTGGCACTGAAGAACCCTGGCTGCGGGAACATGAAATGTCCCTGTGTCCTCTGCCTCAGGCCCAGCCAGCAGGCCCCACCATGTGCTCCCTGGGGAAGAAGTGAGGGGTGTCTCCATCCTTGCTGCATCCCTGGTATGCTTGGTACAGAACAGGTGCTCAGTGAATATTTGCTGAATTAACAGACAATTATGAGATTTATATTAGTTTCAAGTGGAATAATTTAACTTTTTTGGTTGGTTTTGGGGGAGTTTTTTTGGTTTTGTTTTTTGTTTGTGTTTATTTGTTTGTTTGAGACAGGGTCTCGCTATATAGTTCAGGCTGCCCTTGAACTCACTATGTAGTCTGGTCTGGCCTCAAACTTGTGCTGATTCTCCTCCGTCAGTCTCCTGAGTGCTGGGACTACAGGCATGTGCTGCCACACCTGGCAATAATTTAACTTTTAACCACATAAAAAAGTCTGGATTTATTGCATATCAATAGAAAATCTCTCCCCTGACTACATAGTGATTATAAATATATGTAATTTACTATGATAGCAATCCATTTTAATCAGCTGATTAAAAAGATAAACACTTTTGCCAGGCATGCATACCTATAATCCCAGCACTCAGGAGGCTGAGGCAGGAGGACCACCATGAGTTTGAGGCCAGCCTGAACTAGTGAGACTCTATGTCAAAAATAAATAAATAAAGGGCCAAGGATTTAGCTCAGTGGTTCCAGCGCCTGCCTTGCAAGCGCAAGGTCCTGAGTTCGATCCCTGATACCAATAAATAAATAAATAAAGATAAACAATTTTGCCAGGTGTAGTGGTGCACACCTGTAATCCCAGCTCTTGGGAGCCTAAGGCAGGAGAATCACCTCAAGTTTAAGGCCAGCCTAGGCTGCATAATGAGTTCAAGGACAGCCTGAACTACATAGTGAGACCCTGTCTCGAAATAACAAAAAACAATTTTTTTAATAAACAATTTTTATAACATGCTGAAATTAATCAAAACTCTAGTGTTAAATGAACATTTAAATATAAAGTAAATTGTACATATCTTTTTCTTAATGTAGTCTGTTT